GTCAGGGCGGTCCAGGCGGTCACTGCTCCGTGGGTCCTGGTGATGCATTCGTTGGGTTTGGTTAGTTATGGGTCTGCTAGTGTCTTTTTTCACGGCGTTTCAGGTCTTAGCCCTATCCGTCATTGTCCATTGCGTGGCTAGCCTGTTGCATGGCCCTTTCTATGGGTTCCAGTAGTGGGTGTTGTGTGGTTCTCGGTTCTCGTTCACGTGTGTGTATTCTCTGCGTCACCCTGTCTTGGTGCCCCCGGGGGGATGTCGCCCGTTATGGCGTCAGGTGTTCCTGTGTGAGTATGGCCCTCTTGTTGAGGGGTTGTGTGCCCCTGGTGTGTTCCCTGTGTTCTTATGGTTGGGTGGGTTGTCTGGGTTGGGTCTTTTCATTGGTTGGTGGTTGGATCTTGTGTGGTTGTGTGGGTGGTCGTGGGTCTCTGGGTTATGAGTTGCAGTGTTAATGGCTCATTGAGCGTCTGTGAGTGGTGTGTTTTCTCCCAGCTTTATGCTTGCGTCTCGTTGGAGCGCGACTAGGGTAAAGCCTTGGTGGGTCTGGGTTTTAGTAGGTTGTCGTGGTCTCTGTCTTATGTCCAGTGTGTTCATTGAGGTGTGGGAAGGGAGGTCTCGTGAGTTGGGGGGTTCGCACTCCCCGTCGCCACTCCAGGTCCGCCGCCCCCCGGGACCTCTTCCCGAGTTCCCCCGGGTTCTTCTGCGTCTCTTGTCTCGCTTTTGCTTATGGTTCGGAAATGTGCTGTAGGAAGTCATCTGTATTAATGTTTCGGAGCCAGTGGAACCAGCGTTTTGTGTAGTTGTCTTTTTGTTTTGGGGTGGTTGCTTTCATATCTTCGTATTTTCTCACTTCCTCCACTTCCTCTATCCAACGTCTCATGGGTGGTGTACATGTCTGCTTCCAGAATATGGGGATCGTTGCCTTAGCCGCGTTTAGGAGTCTCGGGATGACGGATCTGGAGTAGGCCGGTGTCGGCATGGTGGTGTGGTGGAGGAGAAAGGCGGCTGGTGTCTGTGGCAGGGCCTCGTCCGTTATGTCTTGAATTATTTTCCGAATCATCTCCCAAAAGGGTCTAACGCGTGCACATTCCCACCAGATGTGTTTAAAAGTGCCTATCGCTTCTTCGCATCACCAACATGTGTCTGGGATCTGGGGGTCTCGTGCATGGAGGCTGGATGGGGTTATGTACCACCTGGTAAGGATTTTATATGAGTTTTCTTGGAGTCTCGCCGAACCCGGTGTTTTCTGTACGTGGGTGATGATTTTGTCCCAATCTGCATCCGTTAGGGTCTCGTGTATATCCTCCTCCCAATGTCTGATGCATGGGGGTGCTAGGATGTATCTGTTTACTATTATGGCTGAGTAGATCTGCGATACGGCCCTGGCTGGTTCCCGGTCTTGAGTGCGTCTGTTCTCGTATTAGGTACGGCTTTTGGGGGATTGATCGGGTGTATTGTACTATCTGTGCTCTAGCTAGGGTATGTGTGAATGTGTGTGGTTGATCTGGGAAGAGTTCTGTCGTCGGGCGGACTGCGAACGGCTGTTGAAGTACGTCTTTGATGCGTAGGGTTGGTATGTGTCTGGTGAGTCCTGGTATTGGGCCCTGATCTCCTGCTGGGAAGTTCGGGTTGCCTCTCAGAGGGAGTAGTGGGCCTGGGTCCGTCGTTAAGTATTGTTTTGTGCCCTGTCTGTGCCAGATCCGCATGGTCGCTGTTACAAATGGGTTCTGTATTTGTTTATGTCTGTACGCGGCTTTCGTAATCCATGGCAAAGTCCTTAGGTCACAGTTTGTGGTGTCTGATTCCAGCTGGGTCCATATTTTCGTGCTGCCCTCCACGGACCAGCTCAGGATCCTGTTGAGGTGCGTTGCCTGATATTTTTCGAAGTCTGGGAGCGCCAACCCCCCTCAGAGTTTGGGCAGCGTCCTCCCTCCTCCTTTGGACGTCATCGGCTGAATGCGCATGTGCGGCAAGAGCTGTGCGTGCATTCAGCCAGTCCATAGGAAAATCACAGTGAGAAGTGCTGAAGCGCCTCTAGCGGCTGTCAATGAGACAGCCACTAGAGGCTGGATTAACACATATGTAAACATAGCAGTTTCTCTGAAACTGCTATGTTTACAGCAGGCGGGGTTAACCCTAGCTGGACCTGGCACCCAGACCACTTAATTGAGCTGAAGTGGTCTGGGTGCCTATAGTGGTCCCTTAACTACCTTATCCAGAGCCCTAAGAGTGGACAAATACTCTTAGTAAAGATATCGCTATTGAATTCCTGACAGAAACATTGGTGGATATTGTGACAGATCTTTCTGTCTTGAACTTACAGAGACTTATCGTTCATTCGCTGGTTTAATTCATGTTTTCCCGTTCATGTGGACTCTATACCATTCCCTTTTTTTACTACCGAATGAAACTCCCGAACGGCCGGCCACCCAGTAGAGAAGTGTGCTGCTGGTTAATCTTTTGGCCCCATTCGAACGTTGAGGTTAACCGCAGACACCTTTTAATTGATGCCTGTAGCTGGGTGGCCGCCATTCGTATCCTGAACGCGAGGTCGCGGCCATTTTAAATCCGCGAGCGCTCAGCGGTGTTCGACAGTAAACCCATGGAACTCAAAACGGACACTTTTTGGCCCGAATTCCTAGCTACTAGATAAAGTAAGATCGGCAGCAGTACTCAGTAGTATATTGGCACCTGAGTACATGAGTCTACTGGGCAGTATATATCATCTACAATAGAGTTTATTAGATGGGCCCACTGGAATCTAAGACTAGTACAGGAAAGTTTTCTAATCCAATTTAATCAAGCAAAACAGAATTGGGATCAAGTTATATATGTGCCAGAAGAAGTAAGACCGACTCTGCATTGGTGGATGAACAACGACAACATATGGAGAGGATTTCCCATAGAAGAACCAGAATGGTTGGGCTGCTCATGGCCTAGGAATAACTGGAATCTTCAGTTAAACATCCAGGAAGTACGAGCAGTACAAACCCCTGATTTATTTCAAACATGTATTACAGAAAATATGATGCATTTGGTGTACATTAACCATGTAGGAGGAACAAGAAGCCAGAGGTTGATGCAAGAACCAAGACCCATGATATTTTGAGCTCAACAATATCTGGAAGGTCTATCTGCAGTTCACTTCACTGGGAAATACAACAAAGTTGCAGATTTTCTGAGTTTAGCATTATATAGACTCAAGGGCATGGAAAGTGAACAAACACACACACACACACATAGACTGCTGAATACAAACACACAAAGACTGCTGAATACATACACACACATACAGACTGCAGCGAGGGGTGCAGTGTGTGAGGGAATGGGAATAGAGCAGATGTTTTTTTTGTTTTTACTATTTTTATTTTAAAAGGAAAAAAAAGGCTTTGTTTTCCCCACCCTTTTTCTTACTTTTGGCAAAAGAGGGACGGACACGACAACCCCTGGTGCTCCAGTGAGGACGAGAAGTGACCTTTAGCGTGCAGCTCCATCAGTTGCAGGCTGCCTTTACTCCTCCAACAAGCTGAGCAGTGGGTGGGAGCGTTGCCATGTTAACATACGGCAACACTCTGACCTGCCTGCTCATGGAAGGAACACACAACCTCCCAAGCCTTCCTTCTGTCTCCATCCCTCTACTGGAACTAAGTGTCTTTGGGCCAGTAAGGAAGATCTGTGATCTCCCCACTAGCCCAACAAGGCAGACAGTGAGGCAGGGTCTGCACAGGCCGACAGGGGAGACAAAAGGATCTCCCCTGTAGCCCTAGGTCCATGGGCATTGTGGTGGGGCCCCTTTGCTCTTAGGGCCCCTGAGCAACTGCCAAGTAAGCCCAAGCGGAAATTCGGTCCTGGATAGATGGATGGATGGATGGATAAATAGATTATCTCATAATTCCCAACTCAACATGCAAATGAGCACAGACAGGCATTGTGATTCAGATTGAGTCTAATGCCTGTCTGTGCTCATTTGCATGTCAAGCTAGGAATTCTGGGATAAATGTGGAGACATGATTTCTTGGCATTACTGTGCCACAGATAGATAATCAATCCCAGAATTCCCAAGTCAACATGCAAATAAACACAAACAGGCATTAGACCGCCCTGCATTACTGCAGATATGCAGTTTGAAGTCTGGATCGCAATGCCTGCCTTTGCTCATTTGCATATTGAGCTGGGAATTCTGGGAACATGATTTCTTGGAATTTCTGTGCCCAAGGATGAAAAGTCCTGCTCGAGATATGCAGGTGGCAGTTGACGATATATATGTGTATATTTATTTCCAGGCCATATCGATGGCAGCAGCACTACTCTTTCCCACCCCAACATTTATTGGACAGATTATAAAAAGTTAATAAATAAGACCCTCCTTCCTTTATTTATATATATATAATGTTCAGTACACAACCCAAACGATGAATGAGAGGATTTGCTAGCACAATGAAATTAGTCATTTGGTCCTTACGATTATATCACGGGAGGATGCTTATCGGTGCTATCTTTGCATTGGATATCCGAGACTGTAGAACTGAGTAAAAAATGGACCTTTAATGGTCCCCAACATACCTGTGTGACTAGCATGTATTTAAAGCACTCAGATTATTTCACCAATTAGTTATATAGAGGAATGTTTGATGCGATCCTGGTTGCTATAAAAACCATGTCAGTACTGTACGCATCTCGCTGATAGGGGGCGCAAGAGATATATGTTCATAGACATTACCAAAACTAGAAAACAATGGATTCACTACCGGCATTTTACATAGCGCAGTATCGTTAGCTTGATCTAGTTATGAGCTCGGCAACACGCACAGCAACTGAATACACACCGTCAAAGTCACAGCTATCCTCCACGCAAGTGTAACTTTGTATGTTACGAGTTAACAATCCATCAACATTATAGAACAAAATTTTATAAATAATCGTATTGAGTCTGATGTTATTTTCTCTATATAGTGAACTAAAAGATTTAGAGTATTAGTCTATTTATTAACCAGATGAGGGATCGGGCAGATCAACCACATAAAGGTCCCACTAAGTAGATGGGTCCTCCAACAGCCGACCTGTACCCGTTCAAAAATTCTTCTCACATGAGTAGTGAGGAACCAGGCGTTACCCCGGCTCGTTATTTTCCTTACTCATTAGTTTAAGGCATACCCTACCCACACCAGAAACGGCCACCAGGATTGCACGGACCCCTTCTTAGCTCGTGGTGACAAAATTAGGAAACGGTATATTCTTAGGGCATTCATTTCAAACTTTGATTGCCGTTATAATTTTTGGAGAAATAAAACTGTAAGATTTTATTTTTAAAATATAAATTTGGAAATGTTTGCGTCTGTGACGTATGCAAATTAATGATTGTGTCGCAAAGCATGACGGTCGCGAGGGAAAAAAAAATAATACACGTCTTGGGCCCCGCCTGTTTGAGTGTGTCATTCTGCGAGACGCTAGAACGTTTGACGTCAACAGATGGCGCTGCCACGCCCACTGTGGTAGATTTGCTTCGCAGGTATTCCTTTGGAATCTTTTGTAACATGGCCGATGTGTCGCTGGATGAGTTAATCAGGAAACGGGGGCTAACAACGGGAACAGGAATGTACAGCAGGTCAGTTTAACATCCACTTTCTATTATTATTTCATGTTATACCGTATTCACACATTAGGCTCTCCACTTGGCCTTCTCCTGAGCTGTTATTGGTCTCTGTGTGGGTACTATAGCATGGCATGGGGCCTAGGTGGATATCTGCTCGTTATTTATTTATATTATTCTAGGAATCTGGGTTTATGTACTAAACTCCGAATTGGGTTCACATCAAATCCAAATGGTAACAAAATTCAGCTTACAATAGGCAAGCTAGAGCTGAATACCTCATTTTCTTATTGGGATTTTTGTAGTTTGTTGAATAATACTGCACGTGTTAATGCTACAAGTTTCATTTTATTATAAATGAAACTTGCCATCTGTGGATCTGTTGTGTGGCTGATAAAAGATATCCCATTTGTTGTGTGGCAGTATTTCACAATTGCCCAAATGTGAGGAATCACTGCTGGAGTGTTTGCTAAAGACTGCTTTGTAGTGAATCTTAAAATGGTCGTGGACAGGTGGTCGCTCGGTGGGCTAGTAGGGGGTATGTGAGTGCAGCAAGGTAACCTGGTTGAGGTGGATAAGGGTACACAGCACAAGTATAAAAACCAAGGAAAACTGAGTTACTTGCACGCTATACCAAACCCATGCACATTTTAAATAGCCAGAGGTTTTTTTAGTATTACTCCATTGGCCATTTAATTTAAACTGGGAGTGATACTTTAAAAAATCCTCCCGTTGATTTAAATGCGCATGGCGATTTGGGATAGTGTGCAAGTAACTTTTTTTTCCTTTGGTTTTTATTGTATGTATTGTGACCGATGTGTTCTGTGGTCGTTGCTGCCGCCCAGGAGTGGTGGGAGTTTGATTGCAGGGCTTAATTTTGTATGTTTGTACAGCACAAGTATGTCTCAGGTGGACATTAGGAATCTGCTGCTGGTGTGGTGTGGGTGTCAGTCTTTGTAGGAGCTGAGTTTGAACCATGGATACTATGCAAATACAAAATATTGGTCTCAAGCTGACCATTGAAGGACTACAAGTGCAGCTGTTGCAGGTCTTCCATAAGGGCCATCAATCCTCTTTTAGGCTTGATTTTGCAACTTCGATTCTCATTTCACCACATGTTAGTGTTTAGCGAATAAACAACATATTTATCCTGTAAATCGCCTTTTGGATACGGCTTGCACCTGCCTTGCAGAACCTATCTAGTCAGTGGAGGCTCTTCTATAGGGGAACTTTGGGCAGCGCCCCACCAGTTTTTATGAGGGGAAAAAATATTTTCAGTAGTTTAGACACACTGAGATTCTTTTTCTGGAGGGGAGGGTGGTAAGCCAACACAATATGGGAACTGCATTATGCTCAGCTCTCTGTATTCTATGAGTAGTTCTGTACTTTACAGGGAGGAGTACAATTGTGCTAGAGGAGTCTGGCAGCCCACCATCTTAAAACTTCACCAGCCGGCACTGTATCTATTGAGTCTATATTTAGGAGTATTTACTTGAAAGTTTGCTAAATGTACATACTGGCGGGTTTGATCAGTCTGTATATTTGCTTGTAGGGTAAGAGTGTATTTGCTTGAAGAATTGGTGTGTGTAAATGTAGGCTTATATTTGCTTGCAGGCTTTATGCGTTTATTATTTATATAGCGCCAGCAAATTCCATAGCACTGTACAATGGGTGGACTAACACATGTATTTGTAACCAGACAAATGGATGCACAGGAACAAAGGGGTTGAGGGCCCTGCTCAATGAGTTTACATGCTAGAGGAAGTGGGGTATAGTGGCACAAAATATATAAGTAGGGGTAATGAAATGGGTTGCTAGAAAAGTATTCACTAAGGCAGTGTTTCCCAACCCAGTCCTCAAGGCACACCTACCAGTCCAGGATTTAGGGATTACCCAGTTGTGTCTAAGGTGTTTTTTTTCTTCTTTGTAAAAACACCTTAGACACAACTGGGTAATCCCTAAATCCTGGACTGGTAGGTGTGTCTTGAGGACTGGGTTGGGAAACACTGCACTAAGGACTTTGGTTATTGTTGACAGTTGCAAGAGATGAGTCATGGGTTTGGCAATCGACTGGACATGGGGGGTGAAGGAGAGGTCAGAGTCAAAGAGAACACCTAGGTAGTGAGCCTGCGAGGTAGAGGTGATGGTGGCACCTTTGACTTGGAGGGAGACAGATGCGGGAATAGCAACACTTGAGGGAGGAAAGACCAGAAGTACTGTTTTGGACAGGCTGAGTTTAAGGAAGTGAGTTGCCATCCAGTTGGAAATCGTGGAGAGGCAGTCAGAGACACGAGTCAAGATGGGCGGACAGAGATCAGGAGAGGACAGAGAGATTTGCGTGTCATCTGCATATAAGTGATAATGGAAGCCAAAGGAGCTAATGAGTTTACCAAGGGAGGCAGTATAGATGGAGAACAGTAGGGGACCAAGGACAGAACCTTGGGGAACGCCAACAGAGAGGGGTTGGGGAGAAGAGGCAGAGCCAGAGAAAGAAACCCTGAAAAAGCACCGGGAGAGGTAGGAGGGGCACCAGGAGAGAGCAGTAGACTGAGATTACAGAGAATGAGAAGAAGCTGTTGATGATCAACAATGTCAAAGGCAGCAGAAAGATCAAGGGGTCAAGGTTGGGCTTTTTCAGAATTGGCGTTATGGTTGCATGCTTGAAGGGTGAAGGAAATGTGCAAGAGGAATGGGAGAGATTGAAAATTTTAGTGAGAGGGAGAAATGGTGTGGATGAGATATGAGGGAATAGGATCATGGGAACAGGTGGTGAGGCGGGAGGACTGGAGCAGAGCAGAAACCTCTTCTGTTGTAGTAGGTGAGAATGAGCATACAACAGTGGAGTGAGTGGGGATGGATGATTTATTGGAAAATCTATTAGAAGGGGAGGGAGAGAGATTAGAGATCTCTTCCCTGATTGTAGAAATCTTCTCAGTGAAGTGATTTGCAAAGTTTGAGGCGGACAGGGTGCTAGGAGGAGGGGGAGCAACAGGGCGAAGGAGAGCATTAAAAGTGTAAAATAGTAATTTGGGTTCGTGGGAGAGTGTGCTTATGAGGGTGTTAAAGTAATTTACTTTTGCAGAGGAAAGAGCCAGAGTAAATTTATAGTGGATGAAGTCAGGTGCAGAGTGAGACTTTCTCCAACAGCGTTCAGCAGTTCTGGAACATTTTTTTTTTTTTTTTGAGATAAAGTATCAGCATGGTGTACCGGGGTTGTAATTGGGAGCGCTTGCCGCATTTAAATGTAGGAGGTGCCATGATGTCAAGTTGAGAGTAGAGTTGCAGAGTTAGGGCAGGTGAGATTTAAGCTGGGTAAAAAGGGAGTTTGAAGTTTGGTGGAGAAATCCTGCAGATCAAGGCAGTGGAGATTTTTGTGAGATTGGAGTGTTGAGGGTGGTGAAATTTGGGTACGGGGTATGCCGATCAGCAGGTCAGCAGATGGTGGTTTAGATAAAGGAAATGGAATGTTAATGTATGCTTGCAGGGTTTGGGTATAGTTGACTGCCTGTAGGATAGGCGTGCATCAATCATGAGAGGTTATCCGTTTCCTTTGCTTCGCCATATATTACTTGCTGTCACCGACCCAATATCCGCTTCACAATTTCATTAATATTTTTTTTTCACTGTTTATATAAACCACTTCATTTTCTTTCTTTCTTTAATCACCATAACCATTACAGCCTGCTAGAGTGTTTACAGGGCCTTTTACTGCTGGTGCTGTCCATCAGTTCTGTGTCAAACCAATTTAAAATGGTTTGGCACAAGCAGAGAGTGGTCCTTGGGCTCCTGTGATTGACACTTTGCTCAGCATAGTGCTATTGCAGAATAATACATATTTCTAATATTCCATAGTATATGTAACCCATTTTGGCCAAATTTGAATAACATTCATCATTTGAGCATGTCAGCTCAATGCTCTCAGCCAGCTAATGCTGCACAAATACCAGTGGTTATGGTAATATGAAAATATAACTTTTGGTAATAGTATTATGCAAGGCATGGGATTGGATTTCTGGGAGTTACACAATTTACAGTCATGTGGCACATGTTACACCAATCCAAGCCAGATCAAAACTGAGAATAATGGGAAGTTATAGTCCGTAGTGGCTGTAGTGCAAGTGTTTTCCATTTCCCAATAATAAATAACACACACTCCTCCTCCGTTTAAGGGTTACTCCAACCTTTTTTTTTTTTTTAACTGATTATAGAATAATGCCCTGTTGTCATTTTTATATCAGTCCCCCCTACGAAAACACTCTTATTTTATTTTTATTTTTAAGTAAAGTTCTACTTATCTTAATCTAGCACCAGGTGCTCAACGCACCCTTGTTGTTGTCACTGGGACTGCGCCAAGGTCCAATCAAAGGATTCTCATAGAGAAGCCTTTGATTAGAGGATTTGACTGGTTCAGAGCACATGCGCACAATCTGAGCCCACAAAGGTAGTGGAGGTAGAGCGGCGGAAAAAGAGGGAGGCTTGCAGGAGTGGGAATAAAAAATTATATAAAAAAAAAAAGTGCAAATGAGATTGGAGAAGAGACAACAGGGTCTGCAAGGGAGGAG